CCGGGCGGGCGTCGAGCTGACGGCGCTGTTGTCCCCGCAGACGAGGAAGCCGCTGGTGGAGAAGAAGCGCCGGGCGCGGATCAACGAGAGCCTGCAGGAGCTGCGGCTGCTGCTGGCCGACAGCGAGGTGAGCCGGCGGGGCGGGGGGCGGGGGGGGGGGGGGGGGGGGGGGTAAAGTTGGGTCAGTTTCAGGCGAAGCTGGAGAACGCGGAGGTGCTGGAGCTGACGGTGCGGCGGGTGCAGGCCGTGCTGGAGCGCCGCTCCCTCGGTGAGTGCCGGCGGGGCGGGGGCGGGGGTCCGGGCCTGGGCTCCCCTCCCCTCACCCCGCTCTCCCCATTCTGTCTCCCGGCGCAGAGGGCGGGCGGCTGCAGCGGGAGGCCAGCGAGCGCTTCGCCGCCGGCTACATCCAGTGCATGCACGAGGTGCACACCTTCGTCTCCGGCTGCCCCGGCATCGACGCCACCACGGCCGCCGAGCTGCTCAACCACCTGCTGGAGTCCATGCCCCTCGACGAGGGCGCCTTCCCGGACTTGATGGCGGACGTTTTGGCCGACCCCTGGCCCGGCGGTGGTGGTGGCGGCGGTGAGGCCTTGGCGGCCGCCGCTGCCAGCCTGGCCCTCCCCGCCTCGGCCCCCTCGCCTTCCCCCAGCGAAGAGACCTGCTCCGACTCGGAGGAGGGGGAGCCCGAGCCCGGCCAGACCTCCACTGAGGGACTGGACGCTTCCCGGACGCGCAGCCTGCCTTCGCCCAGCTTACCCAAATCCATGTGGAGACCCTGGTAATGGAGGAGCCCAGCAGGAGTTGGACGCAGACCTACCTAGCGGGGAGAAGCAGCCAGGCCCCCCTCCCGGCTCCCCTGCCAGCAGCTGTGGGGACCGGCCATCCACGGGCCCGGGGGGCTGCATCCACGGCACTCGTACGCTGTCACACCCTGACAGGCTAATAGCTAAACGCATTAACATTTCATCCCCCCCTGTGTGTGTGTGTGTGGCATTTTGTAACGTTAGGGGTTGTTTTTATGAGGGGGGTGGGGAAGGGGGAGGAGGAGGGAGTCGTTTTTGGTTTTTTTAGTAGCAAAGCTCTTCGGTGGGTACACAGCAGTTATTTTATAAACGCTGCCTCTTTCTCTTTTGGCCCTTATAAGTGGCCTGAATATCACTACCTTTTTCTTCTAAGAAAAAGCCTTTGTGCATTTTAAGTCGTGGTGGTGAGCTCCAGGGGAAGCCGGAGTTGAGCCTGCATGCGGAGTTTTAAGTGTTTTAGTGATAGCAGAGATCCCTGAGAGGGGTTGGTTGGGGTGGCTGGCGTCCCTAGGCGGTAGCGGTCTATAGTCTCGCCTTCAGTGAAGGGAGAGGAGACTAGAAACCTGGCAGAATTAGGTGAACGTTAAAGAGATACTGGTGGCAGGGTGCCTTTTAGAAGTGAGTGTTCTTTATGCACATTTTGCTTTTAGCACATTTGAGTTTATTGTGACTTTATGTATATTAGGGTGTCAAATGTTTTTTTTATTTTTAATCTTTAATAAAAAAAATACTGAATTCACAACTGATTGCATGTATTGTGGAGTATGATGCACTTCTAACCAGTTTAAAAAAACTAAAAATACAGTTCCCTATTGTTAACTATTAACAAAAGTGTGGAAACAATGCCAGTAATTAAGCACTTAATTCTTGTACTAAGCATTGTTAGCTCAAGTACTGGAATTCAAATGTTTCTTTTGTTTAATACTAGAAGACACTTAAGTTATTGCAGCAAGCAAGGTCATACTGGTGCAGGGTTGATCTTAGGCCACAGATTTCTGGGATCCAGATAAACTAGCCCAGTCTCAAACCTACTCTACTTGATCTGCCATCTGAAGGTGTTGCTCATACATCTACAGTCCTAACTTCACAAGTGCTACGCAAAGCCTTTCTTGGGGCAAGACTTCACATGCCGGGGGGGGGGGGTTTGTTGGTTTTGGGTTTGGTTTTTGGGGTGTTTTTTTTTTCGCTCTTGAATGCAAAGTTGAATAGAGCATGCAATGGATTGGGAAAGTATTCTTTACAATTAAAGAAGTGTTTCTAGGGGGCTGTGGGGGCACCCTCAGCTGTCTTGTGCATGAGGTTTGACACCTCCCCTGTTCCTGCTTCTAGGAGATGCCAGGTTATTTATGCTGTGATAACAGCTTTCAGAGAGCTGTCATTGTACAGAGAAAAACCAAAAGGATTATAAAGTGGCTTAATACATGGAAGTTCCCAAACATAGAACAAGCGAGAAAGGAAGCAACCTAACTACCCAGGGACTAGACTTGTAACTTTCTATTGTTAACAACCCTATGGAATAATAAAAGTGGAAACTAAGATATTGGTAAGACCTCTCCTTTGTAGTTTTCTTTAAGTTACCTGAGGTGGGTGTTCTTATTCAAAGATGGCCATGAGAATTGTTTGGTTCTTCTCATCCCCTTTTGTGCTAAATTTCCTTTGAACTGAGGGGAGAAGGGCAAAAACCAGCTCTGCAGAGGGAGGTGAGAGCTTCTGTAGTGACCTTTCTGCTTTAGGGAGGGAGGTTAGCGTTTTGAAGTGTAAATGAAGGAGGAACCTGGGACACTTGCACTAAAAGTAACACCCTACACAAAAGATGACCTCTCGGACTGAGCCTGCACCTCTCGAGCCCCAGCACAAGGCCAGGTTTTGTTTTTATAAAGCTATTTCCCCCAGGTATCGCGTAGCATTTGATACTTCAGTCTCCAATTCTGCTTAATTAGCCCAGACAACAGTACCTCGCTGTGATCACCCTGGCCAGTTAAGACATTACACATCAGTACTTTACCCTCTTACACTAAGACAGAGCCCCTGGCTTTTAACCTCTAGAAAACACCCCTTTCTGCAAAGCACTCTCAAGAGAGAGGTAAAGCCACAGCCTGTTTCCGTAACACAACAGCAGCCACCGCAGCCCAGCCTGTGTCCCCCAGCAGCACACACACACAGCAGTAGCTGCAGACACTTGCCTGAGCTGGCTGTCCTCAGGTGTGACATCCAGGGTGGATCCTGGGCCGGTGCATCCTCCATCCCCTCCGCTGTTGCAGGAACACGGCAGGCAGCTCAGCTCAGCTTCATTTCCATGAGATGAAAGACCCCCGGGTTAGGGCTCTTCTGTAACGCTCCTGTGAAAGCAAGTGCAAATCCTGACACTTCAGTGGCAGAAACACAGCCAAGAGTCAACATAAAAGTGCCAGCTTTGATTCAGCAGCAGATCGGGGCTGGGGGTGCTGGCAGCAAAGTCACCTCTGCTAAGCAGCATTGCAGATGTGTTGCTCAACTTCTCCTGTACTGGCCCTGGAGAACGGGAGGTGAAGTTGCCTTTCCCCCTTTACCTGCTCCTTTCCCCATCCCTGTGGATGTTGCTGGCTGCACTTCCCACACCTGGGGTAACCCTCCCCGGTTGGTGGCCCCGCACAAGCCCCCTGCACATCTGCCACCATTGCTGGAGACCTGGCCACATCCCATCCCATTCCCTGCAGGAGGAAACAGGCAGAGGGGCTGTGAGCTCTCCCAAAGCCAGGACGGTTAGGAAGAGCCACAGCAGAGGGATAACAGATCTTTCCCCTGTGCACTTCTCAGTCCTGTATTAGCCAAAAAGAAAAAGCCAGGTCAAAGCAGTGCTATTAAGAGTTTTTTAAAAAGTGTCAAAATCATTTATGCTAGCAATATGGCTTCCCCCTTCTAAATCCACAAATTAGGTTCACAGAAAGTTTACATCCTCTGATTAGGTGCTGCTGGATTTCTCCATTTGCATTTCTGTACCTTACTGCAAAGGTGTCAAATCTGACACTTCCCTGACAAAGGCAGGAAGAGGTGAGCCTTTCGGGGGTGGGACTGGGGAAAGGGCAATGAGGGAAAAGGAAGGTTTCCAGCAGCTCTGATGAAAAACCAGTGAAGCCTTTTCAAGTCCTTCTTTATAGAAACTGCCTTTATTCTTTTCCATTCCAAAGTACTACAAACAGACTGTCTGATCTGACGGTGCGCCGCCCTGTAAGAGGAGAGAGGAGCAGCACACTAACAGGAGGGCTCTCGTTTGATATGCAGTTGAAGAATAATAGAAAGAAGGGCTCGTTTTCCCCTCTCTTTGCATGTCAGTCACTCACACCTGTTGCAGGGGAAGACTGCTCCTTGTTAGACCAGGTCAGCTGGGAGGGCTTTAGTTCAAATCCTCTCCTAACCTCTTGGCAACACGCACAAGGTCTTTTGTCGGAGCCCTCTGGCCAGGAGGCAAGATGGAGCTTTCAGATTGTCTAAATCAACTCACATCTTCCTTTGTCTCCCACTAGTGAGTATCAGGTAGCTCTTTACAGAGTGTTCCTCTCCAAATAAACGTTTTGGCCTCTGTTCCAATTAAAAAAAATAAAACAGAAGACTAAAAATCCGGTCCAGCTCTCAGCAGCAGGGTTAGGGGATGCACACAGACATCACGAGGGACATTTCTGCCAAACAGACAGTTCTCTCCTGTCCGCACCACAGAGAGCAGCCTGCATTTCTTACTGTCCGAGATGCTGCCATTAGCAGAACGCTATTGAAACAAGTCAAAACCAAGGAGGATTTATTTCTATGGGAAGTGTGCTGGGATGAATGTTGGTTAATCCCAGCACCCAGAGCCTTGCTGCACGATGGTAAACTATTCACAGTTTGCCCCACCAGCCACAGCTTGGGCCAAGCTCACTTGGACCATGGAAACACACAAGCCAGCATGCCACAGGCATCACAAGGGAAATTTCTGCCAAACAGACAGTTCTCTCCTGCACGATGGTAAATTCTCCACGGTTTGTCCCACCAGCCACGGCTTAGGCCATGCTCGCTTGGACCATGGAAACACACAAGCCAGCATGGATGGGATCAAGGAGGAGAACAGGAGAACATCTTTTTGATGCACACATGGACACAATGGTTTGAACAAGGTTATGCAAGAAACACGTGGAAAACTCGAGGATCCATACAATCCTCTAATCCAGTTGTCTTAATGAGAAGCCTGTCCTTCCTCTGCTTCCTAAGACATTTTTTCATTTTCCTTACAAGATGCCTGGTTCCAAGTTGCATTTATACTCTTTCTTACAGAGATTTCCTGTGTCCCCAGTTATCTGAATGGATAGTGTTGCTAAATTGTGTACTTCAAGGCTCTCAGGCTTCTGCATGAGCTGAGCTAAAGGGCAAAACTAGTCTCTTCCCATGGGATTTTTAGCTCCCTATGCAACATTAGCATTTCATTATTGTTTTCAGCAAGTGCAATTCATTGCACTGCATTTTAAGAAGGTTAAAAAAAAAGCAAAACAGAACACAAAGCTGGTGCAGAAAACATTCAAATATGAAAACACACCTTACAGCAAGAGACTTGAAGCTTAATTTAGTTAAACAAGATGATGACTGAGGGTGATTTGATTAGTTACACTGCTTATGTTGTAATATACATATGTTATATTGCTCACTTACCAGCTGAGGAAGCCATGGGTTCCAAAACTCTTTTAAGCCAACAAAGTAGAGCCTTAAATGCCAAGAGCTAGATACTGGGTCCACGCTGTTTGAAATAAGAAGGAAAAAGATTGAAATTAGACATTGGAAGAAGCCATGAACTTCCTTTTCTCTTAACGTCATTAGGTCAAGTGACACAGAATATTTTTCCAGGAGCAAATACAAGCTGCTTTGGTTAAAAACAAAAACTACTTTGTAAAACAACAACATACAAGCAATTATATTAGCTGATTCTTTCCGGCCTTAGATTTCTTAAGTATAAACTCACCTCAATTTGTGGTTTTTACGTTGATCTCAGTCTGAAATACAGGTTGAAAGCCTGTTGAGTAGTTTTCTTTACATCTGGGAAAGTGCAGACCTAGGGCATCTTCAGACATACATTTGCAGACAGCTTCAGGAGTCGCCCAGATTTGTTCACCCTCAGCTGAACTCTGCAAAGCTCCTGGACCATTTAAGTACAAAGTAAAGCAGCCTAATTTAAAATCACCACCGCAGAGGCATACTTTAAAGTATCCTTAAAATCATGCGCCCATTGAGAGGAAAGGGAAATTACTGGGCATCGCCCAGAGCCTGCATTTCCACTCAGAGACCTGTTTCTAAACGGGCTGCAGCTTCCAGTGGCCCCTGCAGAAGCCTTGCTGTGTTTCAGAGTTCGGACCATCCATGGCTGAGACACATCAGTAAAACTTCAGAATTTCATTCTCCTGACCCTAAACTGAGTTCACCAGAACCAACCTGAGCTCAGCAAAGTCACTATAAAACCCCTTCTACTGTCACCATGCAACAGCCTTTGCAATCGGTGCTCCATAGATTGAGAAGTGGGGGCGGGTGGGGGGAAGCCCAGAAGGGACACATCAACTCCATTATCAGCCCCATCAAGCTTTTCCACCAACTGGGAGAGGTTGTTCACAACACCCATATGCCTCACCAAGGCCTGAATCGCACAATTTCCTGGCAATTTTTCTCCCTTTGGGCCTGCAAATGCTATTTGGTGTTTATGACCAGCCTTCATAAAACAAGGGAGTCTTTCATTACTCATGGCTGACCTCCAACATGGGTGCTATCTACCCTACACATTGCCCCTTTCCAAAACAATATACACAAATTCCTTTCCCGCTCAACAGACCCTCAGCAGACACCTGCAGAGTACCAGCAGTTCAAGACTATGTTACACACATCTACACCTGGTCCACGTTCTTTCTATCCTTCACAGGAGCAGAAAACCAGTCACAAAACAAATGCAATTAAATCTCCTTGTCTAGACAGATAGGAGTCCGCAGCTTCTTACCAAAATCTAGGATTCTGGAGCAAATCTGTACTGAGTAGCTGCTAGTCTCTGAGCATCTGCAAGCCTCCCACTCATTGACCCCTCTGTTGAACTGTCAGTTTCTTAATAAGCTAACAGAGGTTCTCAGTGAAGTCCATAACAGCAACCTACAACTGAGCTTTGGGATGCCTGTACAGAGCACCCAGGATGTCCTCTAGTTCCCAGAGAGCTTTATATGAAGCGACACACAATTTGGAAAGCTCCTGAATGTGCTTGGTCTCCAAAAGAGGGTTTTAAGACCCAAAGGGCACAACTACTCCCACATGGTACTTTACATGCCCTGTGCAGATGCACAGAGGCAGCTGCCCAGAGCAGCACTGTCATGGGGACAACAGGGACAACCAAGTCAACCAACAGGTCTACACAGCTGCTTTTCTGCTGCAGCATGTTACCAGCAGCACTTGGCTGCTTAGTGGTGACCACACTGGCTGCCACAGAGCACATACTGTCAGGGTGACTCAGTAACAGCACCACAGACTGCACTTTCAATTGTTGCAGCAAGCAGGAAAAATGA